ACATATGTATATATGAATACACGTACATGTATATCTCTAACACTGATTGATGCGTCTTACATTTTTAAACTTTTGAACTTTATATAAAAGATAACATTTCATATATGCTTTTCTGTGACTTGCTTTTGTGGCTTCACGTTCCGTGAGGTTCTTCCGTATTGATGCACAGATACAGCTCATAACTTTTCACCATGTGTTGACACAACTCATTCATCCATCTTCTTGTAAAGGGCCATGTGGATTACTTCCAGGTTCGTGCTATTTCAAATAGTGCTGCTTTGGGCAGTTTTTAGCTTGTCTTCTGGTACATGTGTAAAAGAATTTCTCTATAGGGCAGTGGTTCTCAACACTGGATGTACTCTAGAATCGTCTGGCAAAGCTTTGCAAAATGCTGACATCCTGGGCTCTATTGCAAAGGTTGACTGAACTGGTCTTTGGAGAAGAGGGGTCCCAGGCATAGTTGTTTCCGTTGTTTTTCTTGGGGGCGGGGAAGCTACTCAGGTGATTCTAATACACAGGCAGAGATAAACTGACACTACAGGGTGTAACTGTCCAAAGTAACCCCTCAACAGTGTGGGACAGTTCCCACCTGGCTGCATCTTCACTGTTACCTGGTAATGGTGCCCTGTGTAGCCGTCCCTTCCCCTCCCCCACAACAGACAGCAGGCTGGAGAATGGGCACAAAGCAAAGCTTCGCTGCTCCTGCCCAACAGTGCTGCCGGCACACGAGGCTCCTGTGAGGTTCTCTCTCCAGCCCCGCCACCTGCCTCAGCACCTGGAATCCTGGAATCCGTTACAGTGGAATGGGGGTGGGGTGGGGGTGATTTTGCGACTCAGGGAGCCCTCAGCCTGGAGCAGGTGTGGCCTCACTTGTCCTCCCTTCTCGCCCTCCCATGCTCCAGCTCCAAAGCCCGTGCTTTTGGCCCTCTTCCAACTTTCCCGTGGTTCCATTTGGGCTGTCTCCCAATCTCCAGGTGCGGTTTGCTCTGCTGCCCCCTCCACCTGCGGCTTTGGAGAGCTTTCAGGGAGAGGGGAAGTCCCAAATGCGTGCCGCCAGGTTCTAAGCAAGAGACTAGAGTTTACAAAAAAATTAAGATTCCCCAGCCCTACCTCAGGCCCACTGACTCAGAGTGTCCACGGACATTGGCACCTCCACCCTTAGAGGGCCGCAGGTGACTGATGGGAGCAGGACGCTCTGTCTCACCTAGTGTCTTCAAATGTAATATGAGACTGTTTTTGCTTTAAAACCTCCCCAGAACTGTGACTTCCAAAGTCACAAGGCGTGAGGACTGGCAGTCCCCTCCCGTGTGTGTCCTTGCTGCACTGAGCTATAGCTGAGCTCCAAGGCCAGGCGTGTGCTGCTGACCGGCAAAGCCTCCCCATCACACTGGCCGACTTCAAGCTGGCTGGCCTCCTTCTGAACCCTCATGTGGCGTGACCAGCAGCTGCATACATGGGACTATGAACCATGCCAAGTGGAGGGGACAGGAGCAGTGTCAACCTTCTTGCCAGCAGCAGCAGGGAACCAGAACAAGGATCAGGTCAGCAAGGACAGCTGGCATTTGCCCAGCGCTCTCGTAAGTCCCTCCCAGGAAGCTCTTTGGCTCAGGGTTTCCTGTCCTCGACTTGCAGGTAGAGATTTTCGCCCTTCACTTTGGCAGCTGCAGCGGAAGCAACTCACAGCAGCGCTGCCAGGCAGCATGATAAACACCTGTTACCATTAAACCTACTCGGGCTGTAACACTTTCCCCATTGCTGCCCAAGTTACCACAAACAGCTTAAAACCAGACATGCACCCTGTCACATCCTGAGGGCCAGGAGTCCATGCACAGTGAGGGACTCAGGGGGCTGCACTGTCTCCTGGAGCTTGGGCCCTCTCCTGAGCTCACGTGGTTCTTCAGTTCAGATTTCGGTTCTCAGGGGTGTAAGGTTGAGGGCCCCTTTTCTCCTTGACAGTCGGTGGGGTCTCTCGCCTCCGAGAGGCTGCTTGCAGTTCCTGGCCTGCAGATCCCTCACCACATGGCGACCAGACAAAGCCAGCAAGAGAAACTGGTTCTCCAGTTCTTTTAAAGGACCGACTCTTAGGTCAGGCCCACTCAGGACAATCTCCCCTGTCACAGAAGGTCCACTAGGGACGCTAGCCTCACTTTTCCCACATAATGTGACCTAACCACAGTAAGCGAAGTCCCATCGTGTTCACAGGTCCCACACAAACTCAAGGGTAGAGGATTCTGCAAGGACACTGGGGGTCATCGCAGAACTCTGCTGACCACAGAGGCTTGGCTGTCAAACTAGAATTTTGCCACACCCATAACTAAAACTCACCAGCAGGGACTGGAATAAGCAAAAGCAAACTTAGAGAGTCAAGTTTCAAGGGCAAATACCAATGAACACTTGTTTATTGGTAAAATATAAAAATCCAGGTCTCTTAAATCCACACAATCTCTCCAGCTATCTGGCCAGATCCACTCCAAGCCTGCGTGGTTGGGCAAGAAGAACTAAGGGTGTCCTGCTCGGAGAGGTTTACTGTGACTTCAGATTTCTGTCCTGCTAAATTCTCATCAACCTGGTAGCTTCAAAGCAGACGGAGAGAGGTCCTGGTCCCTAAGTGCAAGACCGGCCCCATCTGCGTGTGCCACTAAGTCTCTCCAAAAAGAAGTTCTGTGGTCCAAGTTGAGCTTAGATGGCTTCGTCAGACAGACAGACACACACACACACACACACACACACACACACACACGTCCCCTCTTCATAACTGATATGTGGAGGTACACAAGTTTAATAACTGTAGATTAACAGAAACGACAACAGAACACAGATGCAATACACTAAAACGGGAGTGGGTGGGGGTGGAAGGGGGATAGAGGGACTCTGGCTATGATCACAGCAACCAATGAGTGATTCCTCTGATGCCCTGAGGTCATGAGACACTTGGCCATGTCACCAGGAACTTCATGTGGAGAAAAACCACCAACTGTGGAAGACACGCAGCGGCACAATTGCTAAGTTTTGAATAGGGGCAGAGGCCCTCTTTGTCAGTGTTCACTTTAAGGATGCCTGGGCTCGGGAGGGTTATGGTCAGCATGTTGACACCATGAGGGGTCTCTTTAGGACACGCCCTGGTTCCCTAACACTAGGTGGAGAAACGCCCCCGCTCACGGTAACCGGGCCCCGTGATGCCTGGTCTTTTGATCCACAGCAGCACTACTCACCACTGCATCCCACAGCCAGCTTCACTGTCTACTAAGCACCCTCCCGACAAATGGATTTCCAACAGGTGTGAGCAATGGGAGGAACCACAGCAGTGGGACAGAGATGGGAGGAACCACTGCAGTGGGACTTGAGTGACAGGAGTCAGCCAGAGGAGCAGATGTGTCCCACGCAGGGTCCCTTCTAGGCATCATTGAGATTGCTATTGCTCAGGAGCACCTGCTCCCCAGGTTTGAAGGCTGGCATCCCGAGGTAGGGGCAGCTGGCGCAGCGGAAAGCATCGCCCAGGTAGCACTGTTAAGAGAAGAGACAATCATACCTGAAAGCTGAGTGTCAGCTTATCCCAGAGATACAGACCGGAAGAACGGGATCCCCAATTCCATGATACGGCCACAGTGACTAGAAGGGAATGGCTAGGTGCATTTGCAGGTCCAACTGGGACCCTAACACCAAAAGTTTTTAAGATCTAAAATAATGGTCTAGAGAAGTTCCTTGGGAGGCCATATCTCTATGTTCTTAGTAGCTCAAACCATAGCCAAGCTCAGCCAAATGGCTGAAGAACCTCACACCCACCATGAAGTAGGAATAAAAGGGCACAAATAAGAAACAAGAGCCCCCGCTCTGGGCATGAGCACGCGAACCCACTCTCAGGAGATAGCGTGAAGTCCCCATTACGACCTACATACATGTCCTCATGTATCCGCCTAGGAGTAAAATATTGAGGCAGTAAATTTCCTGCAGCTGGAGCCTAAACTACTCTGTGTAGTTTAGGATGATGCCCGATGCCCCCGGGAGTTTTGTGAATATTGGGTAATGGTCCTAATACTTACGTTTCCACAAGCTGACTTGGGTTGGGAGCTCGTCTGTTCCTTTGACTTCTCTCTCTCCAGTTCTTCGGCAAGGCCACAAGTGCTGGGGGAAAACCAGGAGCTGATGAGTGAGGTTCGCCACCTCCCAGAAACCCCAAACCCTTGGCAGTGGCAAAACATGCAATAAGGCTTTTCTCTTTATACCTGTTTGTCTTAACCCGAATGCCTACGGGGCCAGGTGGATGAGATAAAGGCGTGAGGCTGTTTAGGGGGACAGTACAAGTGGTGGGAATGGGGGACCCAGCAGGGAAATGCCCTGTTTACATAGGGCAGCCACTACTCAGCACCCAGTTCTCCCCTCCACACCCTAATGATCAGCCAAGGATACTCACTTCGCCCGTGGAAGTGTCCTGCTTTGACAGGCTGAAAGGACAGCTTAGGCTACAGTGAGCTGAGTGCAGAAAACAGAGCAGCCCACTCCTTCTGACCTCCCTCTGACCTCCCTCTGCTGGCCATCCAGTCCCTGCACCACACTACAGCCAGGTGTTCTAACTGTGCCATGTCCTTGGCTTCTGGAACTCACTCGTGACTCTTCCTGTTAGCTTCCCTGGAAGGGAGTCTTGCAGATTCTCAAAGAAGCCAGACCAGAGGCCCCAGTGACCTTATCTTTCTCTGAGAGCCTTCTAGATACAAAACACTGGCCTTTCCTTGCATAGTCGGGTTTGGGCTTACTACTCAGTTCTGCACGACTAAATAATATCCTGTTTGGAGATTCACACATAAGTGGCAAACTATGAAAAATGCCAGGAATGGTTAACACGAACTCAGGAGAATGGCAACCTCTGTGGGGAAGAGGGAGCAAGATGCGGCCGAGGAAGCGTGTAGTGGTGACTTCTACGGTGCTAGTAATGTTTCCAACTCTTAACCTGGGCGATCGGTATATGGTACTCATTTTATTATTGTTTAAAATGTAACTATTTAATATACTCCTCTGTATGTATGATGCATTTCACAATAAAATGTATGTTTTAATTATAGTAGAGTATTGTGATTCCTTGGGAATCGGAAGCCACCAGAAGCAGCATGGCAGACTCTGCTTAGGCTGGCACTTACCAGTTCCTGCAGGCCTTCCTCTTTTTCCCTTCTCCACATGAAGGAGCCCGCAGGGAAGCTGGATCAGGCTTCTTCAAATCTTCTGGATCCAGCAGCTCATCTGAGTCAATGAGATCCTAGAGAATATTCAAAGCTGTTAGTGACATGATCATGGTTTCCGGTAATGAAAAGCTGAGGAGGAGGTCACAGGCAGTAGTAGCAGGTTTACACCAGAGGGAAGGAGACTGTGCACAGAAGATGCATTAGGTCGTGAGGGGACTGGGGACTGGCTCATAGTGTGTAGAGAATACGTATGTGTGTGCACGTGGGTGGTGGGGACAGGAGGAACAAAGAGAGAAACGCTATATTTATTTGAACATATAAAAAAGACTGTCAGGTAAAAAAGAGACTATTTCTATATAATTCCAGAGAAAAAGGACAATAATGATATTTGTATCATTCTGTGATAAATGTGTGGACAATTAATCTGTAAGCAAACCAGAATCTATTTTGCTTGTTGGTTTAATTTCAATGGTTATAGAAATGAACTTTATATGAGACAGCACTGATCAAAGACAGTGAGTGTTCAGTGACTTGGCCAAATAAGCCAATGAATATACGTTAGCTGACAAACTCTTCAGGTTTACACATGCCACAGGAATCTTAAATCTATCACATGAAATGAGAGAAAAGAAATTTAAAAGTAAATGTGGAGTTTCCTTCTAACTGAAAAATGCTGGTGACAGGCACAGTCACGACGCTGAGCCTTTCAAACGTACAAGTCCAGAAAGGCCACTCCAAACTACGGCCATTCATACCCAAGTGGGCCTAAAAGAAACCAACCAAGTGACCACAGTGCCGACTCACCATGCTCTCATCCTCCATGTCAGTGGCTGAGAGGGTCCAGAGCTTGGCAGCTGCAGGGTCCACAGCAGGCTTCACTGAGTCCAATCAATAAAAGGAAAAGAGCTCTATAAAGCAGCCGGAAATAAACCACAAGCAGACATAGGTACTTTTTATAGAGATACTACGAAGAGAACACACTGGACTGGGAGTCAAAAGGCTGGGTTTGAGGCCCAGCTCTACCGCTTATAAAGGGCATGAATTGGGGCCAATTCCTTTATGATAGTAGCAGAAGTCACCATGTGTTAAGACCTTGGTTTGTCCCGGACACCATATGACGCATTTTACACACATCATCTAGTTTAGTTGAGGTTATCTGTCATCTTAATTTTATAGATGAGACAACAAGTTTAGATACTTAGGCCAGTTACACAAAACCACAAATACAAGTCTGTCTAACGCTTTTAACTTCCATTCCATATTGATTTCTCCTTCTTATCTTGGTTTTCTCCTTATCTTGGTTTATATCCCAGCACCATGTGGCTAATGGTACTGCTTACACCTCTTGCAGGTGATGTGGAGATTAAATGAGAAAGTGTGTCAAAAAGTATCATGAATAGCAAAGCTTTAGCCTCACATAAACCTGTTACATACAAGAGAGAAGGCTCTAGAGCTGATGGTGGCAATGTAACACAAATCGGTGGCAAACACAAACCTCCCACCTCCTGAGTCTCTGTCAAGGCCAGGAGAACCCAAGAAAGACTGAGACAGGATTCAGTGTGGCCTGTTTTCAAACGGTCCTTAGGGGAAAGTGCACCCCCTGGTGATCACTGCCACAACTGCATGCTCAGACCCTCCTTGGGACAAACTGCTCACCTAAGCTGTTCTTACCCAACCTGGAATTATGAATCTAAAGGTCAGGTAGGATTCCAAAGGATTTATTGAAGATTTAGGCTGGACGGTCAAACAGAGCAGTGTGAATGTACCCATAAAATTTTGCATACCTCGCAGCTGGGGCACTTTTCTCAATTCAGGCATTAAAAAAGTGATAGGAAAGGTGAGACTAGTGGCAGAGGGCAGACTGGATTTCTGAACAGAAGAAATATTTTTACAATATTTTTACTTAGGATCCCCAAAGTAAGAAAAGCTGACTTTACTGGCACGGAAGTAAAGGACACATAGGAAAAGGAGCAGGGCACTCTTAACTACCATTACCACCACCATGGGGTCTTTGGAGGATAAATGTCAAAATTCTGAGGCCTGGAAAGACTTCATTAACTAAACTATGTGACCCAGGCCTCTAGAACCCAGAGGCCTCAGTGTCCTCTGGTGCAGAAGGGGCTGAATTAAATAACATCTACACATTATTTCAGTTTTGGATTTGAAAATGCCTAGGACAATAGTACATCTGGAAACGACAGAAATTAAGGAAGGACTAAGCCTCTAAAACTATCATCGCCTCATTCAGGTTTGGCTTGATTTCTAATGTCCTTCTGGCCCATTCAGACAGAAGAATGTGTAGTCTTACCCAAAGGAGACTTCTTGGCAATGGAAAGCTTAAGTTGACTAGACGAGCCCACTTCAAAGTTGGGTTTTTTGCCTGTGATTTGCACAGAGAGCAAGCTGTCACTATGGTAACCCAGGTGTTCTTGGACAGACTGTATCTCCTCGGGGCTCAAGGACTCCTGCTGTAGCTGGAATTCAAGACATCAAAAGGATTAGGTCACACTCCCTCGAATGATGTTCTACTACGCCCACCTATATCGGCTTCGAATACTCATTTCTATATGTTCGGTATACAGAATGGTGGGCTGTTATCATACACAGTTTAGCAGTGGGAGATAACAGATGTCACCTCATGCCTCACATCAGTTGCTCACTGATTGTAACCCTGAAATGTAACTTTTGTCTACATGTCTACTTTGAGCCTACCCTTTGGAAAGTTTTAAAGTGTTTAAGTTTCCGTCTAGTAGGTATAAGGCGAGTCACTGTGCGGGTTGTGATATGATTATAAAGATGAATCAGACATGGGCTTTGAACAGGATCCAAACCTATAGAGCGGAAGCAGGCCCACCACCAATTCACATCCTAAGAAGAAGAGAACCACAGGGGGAGGGAAATGCTATGCTCCTTGGAAAGTAAAAATAGAAAAAAAGATGGGGGTGCGACTTCTGTGCCTAACAATTATAGAACGGTGAAATGAATCGTAGCCCATCTATAGCACTGAATATTGTCAAACCATTAATAAGAATGAGGGGCAAACACTGAGATGGACAAATGTCCAGACAGCTAGCGACTGAACAATATATACATACGACCTTGTTTACATTAAAAATATGTGTATGTGTATGTGTGTGTATACTTGTAAATACATTTCAAAAGGTCTCAACGGCCATACAACAGAATGTATTGGTGGCTTCCTTCGGGAAAGGAAGTGTGAGCAAGGACTGGGATGTCACTTTATCGTCAATATTCTTCAGTATTAATTCAATTTTTGTGAGCATCCTTTATTTTAAAATAAAAAATGAAAAAAACTTAAACTAAAAAGGAAAATAAGGGCGGGCAGGCATTGAGAAAGTAAGGCCCTTGGCCACGCAGCAGATCAGCGGTGTGACAGCACTCACAGCACACTTACCTCTCACACTAGAAAATTTCAGCATCGGAGAAGAATGTACAGATAGAAACACTTCTATTTGATCTAAATATGTCTACTTAATTGTCAGAAATGGGATTTTTCCCCTCCAAACCACCCCGGCCTCCCACCGAATATCGGAGGAAGATCTAGGAGGCTGCCTTTCACGTGGGCCTAGGGTTCGTGTCCATTCAGAGATCTGTGTCCCGCTCTGCCTCCCTCGGCGGTCACCGCCACCAAACCAACACTGAGACCGGAATATGCCCCAACTCACATGGGACCCCCAGCTGAATCTCTTCAAGAGATGAATTCCAGAGGTTCTGTCCTTTAAGGTACCATGTATCTCACATGCAAACTACGTCTCAACTTATTTCTTAGTGTAAGTGACACTGATTACCTCACTTTCAGGGCTGTTATTTCCTCCTGATTCTCTTTGTATCGTTTGACAAAGAGATACTGGCTTTAGTGACCCAAGGTTTAAATTCCCAGCAAAGAAGGTCATCTCCCAACATACCTCTTTCACTTCCACAAGACCAGAAAGAGTCAGGGCTGAACAGAGCTTGGATGCCGTCTTCACTTTGCTATTGTTCACTGCCAAGAGAAAAACCCCAATCCATAGCTTTATAGGTCAAAGCAGGAAAAATAATAAAGGTTCTAACCTATTTGAGTCAGCAGGCATTAAAACAATAATAATCTATTCTGTTTAACGTATATACATTTTAGTGATAATATTTTAATTTAAATTTCCTATCAATACTCTTGAGTGTTTTAAGTGTTATATAGTAATTCTATTATTATTATTTCTTATCACTCTCTGCTTCTTGGAAATATCTAACCTTCCAGGGGGTGTTGGATAATGACTGAGAAAGAGGCTTAAAAACTCTAAAACACTGTATTCTCTCTTTATAGTTTTGACAAAAGATACTGTTTAATTACCCAAGGTTTATATTCCCAACAAAGAATGCTGATATCTGCTATAAACATCACAAGTTTATTTTTCCATATAAGCACCTTTATAGATTTCAAAATACTTTCATGTCTATTACCTTACTTGATGAACTAAGTCATCACATTTTGATAGAAGTCTAGCAAAAAATGCTAAAAATTCAGAATTGAATAACTCTTTGACACTTTACCACTCGATCAAAAAAGAGATGTTTTTATTTCTTAGATTCTATCCTTAGTTTCACATGAATCAATAATTATCAATAATTATCTCATTACTCCCAGATTTCCAGTCACGAATTCTAAAGTATAACTATGGATGCACAGGGAGTTTAAAAGAAGGGGGTCCAGGGAGGTCTCGAGGACCCTTCCCCTCACTTCTCCCACGGTAATGTGTTACACAACAACAGTACAATATGAAGACCAGGAAACTAACTCTGACAGTCCACAGAACTAATCCATATTTCACGAGTTTTCCATGCACTTGTGTGTAGTTCTATGCAATCCTGGCACACATGTAGATTCACGTAACCACTACCACACTCAAGATACAGAATGTTCCATCACCACCAGGAACCCCCTACTACCTCTATACACACTCCCTCCCTCCCACTCCTAACCCCTGGCAATCACCAATCTGCTCTCCATCACTGTAACTTTATTTCAAGAGTGTTAAAGGAACAAAATTTAAAAAATTAAAAAAAAAAAAAAAAAAAAAGAACAGAATCGTCTAGCATGTAACCATCTGAGACTGGCTTTTTCGCTCAGCATGACTCCCTTGAGATCCATCCAAGTTGTTGCACACATCAATAGTTTGTTCCTTTTTACTGCTGCATAGTTTTCCGTGGTATAGATGTACCACAGTTTAACCATTCACCTGTTAATGGACGCAGCCATTTTCATACAGGCATCTTCCTAATATTTTACTACTAATGGGTTAAAGATCACAATCTGTTCAGACGTGTTGCTTCAGATTTTTACAATAATTTATCCCTTAGAAGAAGGTTTAGCTGTAGGAATATTGATCTCTAAACGATACCTACTGCTCAGAGAGATGCTGCAAACATACCTGATTCAAGTCTATTAAATGCTAGTCTTTCAAATGAAGATTTTCTTACCTACAGCTGTCTCTACTGGCTCTTTCAGAAAAAGACATCCACCAGGCCGAAGGATCCGGGCCATCTCAGCCAAAATCTCAGCACTGTGCACAGTGGTGCTTCCAGGAATTACACCCGACAAAATAATGTCGAAGCTAGATTCTTTGTGGGCAGCTGAAAAGAAGAAAGACCCTAATCAGCAACCACTTGGACCCCAGAAGCAATCCCCAGGCCTCTCAAGCCCCATAAAGGCCTGTGCCTGGCTCTGCAGAACGCACACCCACTTGTGCAGCACACGCTGGTACACCGCCGTTATTACTAAGAGGGGCACTGACGCTGCTGCCTGCTCTCCCTCGGTCTACTTTCACATCCTTTCATAGGCTCAGGGAAAGAAGTAAAAGGGGAAGCTGGATGAAGAGTAGACTTTAAAAAAAATGTGGGATCTCTAATAAGAAACAAGGGCATGCTTATAGAAATCGTCAACTATACTCCTAAGTCTCCTATATCTCGACTGAAAAACAACAGGGTGACCAGCCACTATTTTCACGTGCCACTCAAAACAAAAAACTCAGTTATGAGGGAACAAGAGAAATGCAGCACACTCATCGAAACTGACCCATCTCCCCCACCCCGAGCCCGCGCCCTGTATAGACAACCTGGGTGGGTACCTACACTGCAACAGCTGGTTGATGTTTTCCACGGACACTCGGCCCTCACTGCCGGTCAACGCCTGAAGCTCATCCACCAGCTCTTTCAGAGCCTCCACCAAGGAGGACTTATCCCAAACCACTGCCACGAACTGGCCAGCTGAGATCCCAAAGTCTGCCATGCCTGCAGCGCGATGGACCTAAAAACAATGGGCCAAAGGAAAGTCAAGACTGAGCAGAGACAAAAGTGCAATTTAATCCACAAGGCACCATCGAGTATGATTAGAATTACAACCTAATTCTGACCTCCCACCAGGAAATGCTGATTGCATTTCTTACTATCGATATGAGAGTCTGAACAAATAAACTTATTATCCCAAAGTTTCACAACCCCAACACACCCAAACAAGGCAGGTGGCTTTCTTGGTGAGAATCCTGACTTGGCAGTCAAGTAAGGAGGCTGAATTCAGAAAGATTATTTCCTCTTTGATATGAGACAACTCAGCTTGACCAGAATATAAAACGCAGGACATTGATTAGGCAGAAATATGACTCAGCAAGGAAGGCAAATAAATTGGCAGATATAAACCCAACCACAAACTTAATGTTTTTAAATAAAGAGACGCGTTATTAAATTTAGCAAATTAAATATTTTCCTTTCATCAAAATATGATCAATGTATGTGATCAATAGTATCTACTATGTCTTTAACATGTAACTAGACCGTTCAAAGCACTTTTTATATATTATCTCAACTGAATCTCAAAACAACCTTAAACTAGATATTATTCCCATTTTACAGCCAGGAATCTGAGGCCATTGACTTTGCCCAGGTCATACAACCAGTAAGCGTTGTGTGGATCAAGTAAGAGCTGGGGTTCGAATCCAGGTCCATATGACTATAAAGCCCATGCTTTTAACCTATAGAAACTCCTCCCAGTGGGTCGACTTTCTCTGCCACTTGATACCCAGATGAGTACACAGCGTGCTCACAATGAATCGGCCAGGAGATAGCACTCTACTCAGTTGCTCCTTTCTGTCTTAAACATTAATGCCACAGGGTTTCCAATTTAAAACAGCTCTAGTAAGTGACAAAGACAGAGCTGTGGTGGGGACCTCAAGCATGGATCAGTCTTATGCTGAACACTATCTTCTGCAGAGGTGGCTAACAATTATGCCACCACAGACACTCTGAGACTGATTTTAAGCTATGTCCCCTACATTGTTCCTTCTTTAAAAATGTTCACTTCAAATGACTTGCCCCTCTGCCTACAAAATATGCCCAGGTTAGCCAGTCATCCTTCAGTACTACAGTACTTTGTTTTTTTGCTAATTTCCTAAAGCAGTTACTAAAGGGTTTCTTTTCTAGAGCAAAGTCAAAACTTAGTAGTCTTCTGGATTCGGGTCTTCCATAATCTGGCTCCACCTGTATCTCCCACCTCTCCAAAGTGAATCCCTCCTCGTTCCATTGGAAAACCTTTGCATTTTCACTCTGTCATGCCTTCTGTGTAGTTCCTTCCACGTGGAATGCACACTCTTTAGTATCCTGACCTGACCTGACTGCAAGTCACAGTAAAAGGATGCCAAATGTTATCAGACAAGCAGTATTCCTCAGTCAATGAATTATGGTTTTCGAATCCCTAAAAAGTGCACAATCACAAACTAAAACTTTCAAGCTTTTAATTGACACATGATATTGAGGAAGAAGCCTCGCAAATCTTTTAAGGTGAGCGACTTGGGATGAATCTCACATTTAAGAGCTAGCCAGGGAAGACAGGAATATAGATTGCTGGGCATTAAGTTATAAGAAATAATCTGTTTCTAGAATGATGTTGGAACAGGTTCTCCCTTGGGACACTAGAAAGAGATGACAAGCTCCCTGCTCAACAGTAACTACTATAACGTTGCACTGTATTCACAGAAAAATTCTCATGAAAGAACTGAGGGGCCAAAGGTTACTTACTAGCTAGAGAAAAACAAAAAGCCAGATGTCTAGACCCTTCCAGCACCCTTTATGAAGGCAGTTTTATAGAACACAGGTTTTGAATACAGATGAAGTGGGTTTTATCTACCGCTAGATCTTCTAGTTCTTAGCTACATGACATGGGTAAGTTATTATTAGCCTCTCTCTTTTTTCATCAATACAGGAGAGATAATAACTTCATATTTTGTAAGGCTGATGTAAGAAGTAAATGAGAATATAAAAATATGCAAAGCACTCAATAGAACCTGGTATATAGAGCTCCATAAAATAATGTTCTAAAAGAATGAGCCTCCACTTCTTGGTGGCCAGTTTACTTGCCTTTGCTTCAAATAGTCCTATAAACTTTGGTCTTCCTCCTCAGCCATGCCCACTGGGAGGACTCTCCAGGGAGAGATGTGAAACTTCTTTGCCACTGTCAGAATTGCACAGTATAAGAGCTACATTTATGATATCTTCTATAGTACTCTAGTGGGATTGTGTTAGCAAACTAGAAGAATGTAAAATGCTTTGTGTTCCACATCCTCCCAAACTAATCTTCTATGGCAAGAGGGAGCTCATATAATACATTTATTAAGCATTAACCCTCAAAAAAGACACAGTCACCACTTTCAGTCAGCACTTTCCAAATAAAATGGGAAAGTTCTTTTAAATATCTAAAAGCCAAAGCGTGAGCTTTTCATCATCAGAGTTTTGTGCTGCTGTCAATCTGTCTTAAAAAAATAAATAAATAAGGAAAAAATGTCCGGCATTTAAGTCAACATACTTAGATGTATGACTCAGAGCTCGGTTTCACAATTAAAAAGAGGTGGAGGAGAAGTCACTGTCACATCACTGGACTTGTTAAGCACCTCTCCAACTGTGACTGCTGCACACACTGGTCCATGGCTCTTTTAAAATATCACTAGCAGGCAGTGACAGCAGATGTCTGAGGATAACTTCTGGAGATGCACTTATTTATTTTTAAGGTACCCCATAAACATCAAATTTTGAGGCATTTGGCTTTTCTTAAGGATGAAGGGGGCCAAAAAAAAAAAAATCTAAGACTGAAGTTTGGGTATCAGTTTAAAATAAAAATTGAATCCTTTTAAGTCAGGGTCATAAAAAATTCTGAGAATACTGAGAGCTATCCGAAAATTTTAATTAAAATGAACTGACTGAAGCTCATGCATGCAGAAAAAATAAAAGATTATCAGCAAGGAAACAGTAAAATCAAAGGAAAAGAAATGGAAGACTCTCCAGGTAATTGTGTGTCAAGAGTTAAGGGTTCAAGACAGATATCCAAGTGCTAGAATGTCCACAGGAAAAGCTTATTTGAAGAAAAGTGGACAGAACTCAGAAACAAAACAAAAACAAAACAAAAAACCTCCTAGAGAGATCCACTTTACTGAAATCCAGAAATATGGATATGAAATTTTAACATTTGGGGAGTCATTTTGGCTTAGCAGGGCTTCCCTCACACTCGTGCAGAGGAGAGCAAGATATTTTGAAAAGACTAGAGTTGGTAAGGGGTGTGCAAAACAAAGACGAGAGTCTAACTGCAAACACAGAATTTACAGAATGACAAGTTTAGTCCCTGTCGTCACTAGTCCCTAATTCCCCAAACCATTTACTTTACTAATATGAAGCCTGAAGATACATATCCCAGTGAGGCGCTCTGCATTTTACATTTTTGATTTAGAGACTAGTCCATGATCTCCCTGAGTCACCCAGGGAGCCTGGCACTCAATATCTGAATACGTGCTACCAGCCCTTCCCAAACCTGCAGATCTTACAAATCACCTGGGAGCATTTGTTAAAAAAACCCTGGACTACACCCAAACTTACTGAATCAACTCTAAAAGAAAGACTTGAGTATCCGATTTACTAACAAGTATTTTAGGTGGTGCTTCCGATCTGGCCAGTTTGGAAAATATTTAATTATAGCAACTCAACACCCTGAAGGTTCAGGAAAGTCACTGGCTCAAAAGTACAACCCGGGGGCTCTCTCAAAGACCGAAACCAGCTCCCCCAGTGTCTGAGGGACTGAGGCCCAAGGTCACAACAGCTGGCTACTGGCAGCCGCGGGTCTCAGATCCAGATATCCGAGACCCCAACTCGGGGCTCTTCCTCCTCGGCACGCTGTCCCGAGGACCTCAGACCCAGGCTCGCAGCACAAAAGATGAGGCAGCCCAGGACGGGCAAAGAGGCCACAGCGCCAGGAGCCCGGAGCAGAGCCCTGCCCGGCCCCTCACACGGGCTTCCCTGGGCAAAAACCCGCTGTGGTAGCCAGGGAGGTGGCCATAGCTACGTTCTCACCGAAGGACAGGACTGGGAGTAGAAAAATGAGAGGATCTCGGGACGACGGTGGGCCGGGAGGAGACCGTTGGGGAGATCCGGCTCTCGGGCCACCCAAACAGCGCTCACCTGCTAACCGCGACTCGCTCCCGGATTCTGTTCAGTAGCCGGCTCCGCGCCACGCGCCTCTCGCGAGAGGAGGAGGCTCCGGCGGCGCTGGGAGGGCGGAAGTGGCCGCGACGCGCTCCCAGTGCTGCTCCTCGCGTCGCCGTCGGCGGCGTGCCCACCTCCAAGATGGCGGCAGCGGTGGCCGTGTCTGGAGCCCTGGGCCGAGCGGGCTGGAGGTTCCTGCGGCTGCGGTGTCTACCCGGTGAGGGGGGCGGCCCAGCCGGGGAGCGGGGAGGTGTAGGGAGGGGGCGCGAGGACTACTGGGCTGGCGGCGGGGCGGACAAGGCCGTCGTGGCGGCCCGCGAGCAAGGTGAGGTGAAGGGCACCGGCGCGGAGCCGCCGGCGTGCGGGTGTTGAACGGAACGGGCCCTGACTGGCTTCTGCCCCCAGTCTCCATCTGTGAGGGGCCAGAGCAGCGGAGCAAGGCCTGTCCCTCATTTAATGGAGTTAGACAGAGCCCCAGAGAGGGCCGTGGGTGCCCAAGGTCACACAGCTCGTTGTTTGCAAAACCGGCAGACTCGGACCCAGTCTCTTAACTCCATTGCCAAGTGCGTGGGCCTGGTAATGAGTTGGAGACAGCCACAAAGAGCGCCTAGTCCGCTGTTTCCTGTCAGTCATTTCCCCACCACTACAATAGATCCGTGTACTGTCTTTGCCACTATATAGTAGGTATTTTTGTTTATACATTTGAGTTATTAAAAATATAGACATTTTCTTAAAAGAGGAAAATTTATGTCACTACCATAAATGGAAAACCAGTGTCAATTTCCGTAAATACGATATGCATTGACACATTAACATAAATATATATAACATGAAATGAACATCCTCCCGTATTTCACCTGAAAGCTCGTGAACCTCAGTGGCTTTTCAGTCTTTCTTCTGGCCCTTTCAAAGTTTTATGACTATTTGCTCCATTTTTTCTGTACATAGACTAAAATCTTAATATTTTTACACATTGTGTTGTGTTTCTTTTAAAATCATTTTTCTCTGAGTTAGCCCCCCATGGGTTTTTAAAAAATGTGTGCCCTTTTGTTGTTTTTGTACAAAATTCCAAACTAAATATGTTTACTAAAAGTATGCCTGTGACCCAGCAAATCCACTCCTAGGTATTTACCCAGGAAAAATGAAAGCATATGTCCACAAAAAGGTTTGTACAAGTATATTCATAGCAACTTATAATAGCCATCACTGACACAGCCCAGGTGTCCATCAACAAAACAACATTTCTTAATGGAATACTAAGCAATAAAAAGTAACACTCTACTAATTTACACAAAAATATGAATCTAAAAAGTATACTGAACAAAAGTCTTACACAAAAAGGACATACTGTATGAGTCTATGTAGATGAAATTCTAGGACAGACAAAACTAGAGTGAAAAATTCAAAAGTTTGGAGAATGACTGGGAGGGAACATGAGGAAACTTTCGGGGGTGTTGATAATCTCTAGATAGGGGTTCAGGTCATAGAAGTATATATACATTTGTCAAAACTCAGAATTGACACGGTTAAGACTTGCGCATTTCATTGTATATAAATATCAGCGCAATAAAACAGGAAATAAATGTTGAACTCTAGTCAATGATATGTATGCTGAAATGTTCACAGATAAATACCGAGGTCTGCAACAAATGCATCAGAAAATAAGCTGGATTGATGAATAAAGAATGTGATGGCTAAATATAGAGAACCTAAGTGATTGATATGCAGGTGTTCATGCCACGATTCTTTGAACTTGAAATTTTTTTATAACACAATTTTGAGAAAGAGTAGTATGAGCCTGTGCTTAGGAAATAACTACTCTACTTTCTAAAAGCCCTTTTCTGAAGTAAATGGGGTGTTGCAATATTGCAGATGAGAAAGCAGACAGACACCTCATAAACACCAGAGAGTTGGTATTCTGACCTTGTAATTTCTGGTCCAGTACTCTTGCCATGATATATAAATATGCAACATTTTCAAGTCACTTTCACTTTTTGTTTCAGCCTCACTCCCATAGAGCAAGTTGAGGTTATTGCTCTTAATTTGCACATTTTAAAGTCAGCCTTGTTGGGATGAAGTGATTTGCTCATTACCACACAGCTAACAAATGATGGAAACAGGCCTAGAAACCAGGGCGTCTGTTTCCCAGCTCATACTCTTACCTCCATGTCGTGTCTCTAGGTTGCCAATTTACCCAAGATTTTTGTCTGAGACCCAATACTCGGATAAGTGGTTCTGGAGTAGACGGCCCTACTTTTCCTTTCCCCCATCCCTCAAAGGGTCTTAAAGTGTCTTCTCTGGTAAGTGTCCCTGACTGACTAGCTCAGTTTCTGTTTCAGTGTCCCGCTGTCGACCAGCCCTGTTGCCACGTGCCTTCCATGCTTCAGCTCTGCAACTAAGGTCTTCAGATGAGCAGAAGCAGCAACCTCCCCCCTCTTTTTCTCAGCAACATTCTGAGACACAGGAGTCAGAAAAACCCAATCCAGAGGCTCCTCGTTCACCCCCTAGGTAAGCAGGAGAACCCAGTCCACCCATTTCTGGCCACTACGTATGCCGGGTATGGCCGTTCTTTTCTTTCCTCTCCTCTGTTCCCCCTTTTCACCTTTCAATATCTTCAAGACTATCTTTGAAAGTTTAGGAACCTTTTTTTTTTTTTAAATGAATATGGCGTCTGTACATTCTAAAACATCTAAACAATATAAATAAGTTTTAAAAAATAAAGCAAAATTTACCAGAATTCACAAACCTAGAAATAACTGCTAACAATTTTTGTGAATATCCTTTGAGCTCTTTCTCTAAGCATATTTCATATGTAAATCTATATATATAATAATGATTAATTACACTACGAGTGGTCCTTAACCTTTTGGGCATCAGTGAGCGGTGCTTTTATGAGAATCTAATGCCTGATGATCTGAGGTGGAGCTGAGGCAGTGATGCTAGTGCTGGGGTAGCGGCTGCAAATACAGATAAAGCTCTGCTCACTTGGCCACTGCTCACGTCTTGCTGTGTGGCCCAGTTCCTAACAGGCTACAGACCAGTACTGGTCCACGGCCCTGGGATTGGGGACCCCTGCTATACAGAATACATGCTATTCCCAGAACCTGTTTTTTCACTCAGCAGTACATTTCTAATGTCTTTTCATAGTCATTATTTTATGATTTGATGATTGCATAATATTCCAGCAGTTAGCAGTCCAAAATTTTTTTAACGCATCTTTTATTGATGAATGTTTAGATTTCCTTCATTGGTATGAAAAACAATATGATAAAATGTGCCATTCTCTCACCAATGGAAGCACTGAGTCAAAGGATATACACATATAACATGTTGTTACATATGCAGGTCCAAATTGCCTTCCAGAAAAGTAATAATAATAATTTACATTTACATTAGATTTTTTTTTTCTTCTTAACCTTACCATAGAGAAGTTCCTCTAGCTCTGAAATGAGGGTGTTCTCAGTCATTTTTTTGGTCTCTTGATTAAAGTACTTTTCAGTTCAAGTGTTTTTTGAGGATCTACTTTGTGCCAGGCCCTGTGAATAATATAACCCTTGTTTATATTATTCAGAGTTACAGTCTGGTGCAAATACAGATAAAGAAACTGTGCTAAGGGCTCTAAACGGAAATCCGGGGAGCTGCAGGAGTGTGTGCCTTCCTATGGCACGACCTCCTCGCTCACTGCGTCCCTTCTCTCAGTGACTGTATGGGTGGGGGAGGATGGTATAACTGAACTGTGTTGGCATTGTAACACTGTTACTGACACAAAGTAAGCGTCTTCTCAACATGTGCCTAGAGAAGGCACAGAGCCTCTGGTTTCCGGTCAGGCTCATTTTGCATGCCAGCAGGAGGCAGTGAGATGAGGTGTGCTGGGCTCTGTCCCCACAGCTCTCCTGGGTTTGGGTCTCAGGTACACAGACCAGGGTGGCGAGGAGGAGGAGGACCATGAGAGTGAGGAGCAGCTGCAGCACCGCATCCTGACGGCAGCCCTGGAGTTCGTGCCGGCCCATGGGTGGACGGCAGAGGCAATTGCAGAAGGAGCCCAGGTGTGTGTAGGTGAGGGCGGGGCAGCGTGACCAAGATCAGCCAGGAGGGAGTCACACCAACCTCATGCATCTTCCAGCCCAGCGTGAAACCCGTCATTGCTGCAGGATTTCCTTTTTCTTCTTCTTTTTTGGGGGGGAGTGGGGCTAGGGGAGGGGGGAGCTTCCCAGTAAGGTGAGATTAGCTTCATTTTTCAACTACTTTTTCATGTAAAAGGAATATCAGATAGAGTTGGTTCTTGGGAGTTAGGTTCTAAAGGCAGCCGATTAGGCAAAAATTGCCTAAGATCAAAACTACTATATTTCACTGACTCTAAGATGCCATTAGTTGTAAGAAGCACTGTTATTTTATGCATCATCAAAAAAAGGAAAATGCTGCCCGTTAAACTATGATGTATCATCAAGTGTACAATTCATACTGATTGTTCAAAATGAAAAAAAAAATGTGCATTTTAGAATTGATGAACAGTGGTGTTTGAAAACTCTCAAGAAGGCACCACTTTGGAGACCAGCACACCTTATTTTTCTCAATAAGTCTTACCGGTCAACGTTGAGTGAATAGAAGGTTAGGAAGCAGAGAAGCATTTGGTTGCAAAGGGTAGAAGGAAGCTAGTGTGTACCAAGCTCTGGACATGATATGGAAGTTCAAGCAAGTCTGAACACTGATGGGGGATGTAGAAATTGGTCAGGGGCAGGGTTGGAGACTGCTGCAGGTTTGGTTTCTGGAAGAACATTAAGGAAGTTCTTGGGATGGTTTCCATGTTCTCCATGCAGTAGCTGTGCTTGTCTCACGAGCCCGAGTTAGGAAGGAGTGGGAGGAGGCCAAGGTTTGAAGGAAGCGGAGGTTTAAAAGAATTATTACAGAAAGTTATGGAACCAGCAGACAGAAATGTAACAGGATTGTTTGGAAAAATATGATTATTCTGAATATTCTGTGGTTAACTGGGCATTTTCACTCTGCATATTTCCATTCGTAGCGGCTGCATAATACCTGTTGTATTTATTTGAACTCACTTGGTAAACATTTGGGTTATTTCCAATTTTTCAATATTATAAACCTATTTGTGCAATATAAATTTAAGTACATTTCTGGTTGGTTTCTTTAGGACACATTTAGAGAAGTCGCTCTTTGAGAGAGTGTATAAGTCAGGTGACAAACCGTATCAGTTATTCAAATAGAGAATTTAATACACAGAATTATGAACTTGGTGTAAAGCAGGTGAGCAGGTAACTGCAAGGGTAAAAAGAACAGTAAGATGTTATGGAGGTAGCAGATGCGGGAGGAAGCTCCTATCCCCAGGGCTGGGAACAAAGGGAGGAGCTGGAATTATTAAAACTAGGAGCTTGCAGGAGAGTCCCTGTGGCAGTGACACTCAGACCCCTGAGGAGCAGGCACTATTTAGCTGGCACTGGAGTCTCTAAGTCTGGAGGAAGGGTCCCTGGGGACTGGCACAGAGAGGGAGTGATTGAGTGGTTGGGAGGGCAGGGAGAGGAGGCAGGGGTTAGAGAGGTGTTCTCGTCCCCCAGATGGTACACACACAAACCGCTAGCAGACAGAAGTCAACAGGAAGGTGCAAGCCTCACCTTCCTCCAGCCTTGCAGTCTCCCTCTGCCCACCCCCTGATGTGGGGCCAGAGTGTGGTCTGCAGAGCCCCAGCCTCTGCATCGCAGAGCTGGAGATGGAAGGGCAGCTTTGGAGCTGAGAGACAGTAATTTAGTAACTAGCTCAGAGTTTGTGTATTTTTGAAGTTCTGTTACGTTCATATTAGAGGCAGTATAGCCTGGTGGTTAAGAGCTTTAAGCCTCAGTTTACTCATCTGTAAAATGTGGGTGATGATGTACCCACCTGCTAGAGGTGCTGTGAGGCTACGATGAGCTTGTGTATGAAATGTGCTTAGCAGAGTGCCTGGCACATGGCAAGGAGGCAGTCACCTTCATTATCGATGCCGCTAAACTCTAATGTTGATGTGAATATTATCAAATTGCTCTCTAAACGGGCTGTGTACTTCCACCAAAACAGAGGCATTTTCCCCACTCCCAGTGGTGGGGATTTAGAGTTAAATTTGTTTTGTTCCTTTTCTGCCTTCTGCCCCTGTAGCTGTCAGCGTTCTGCCTCCAGTAAGATGCTTAGTAATTGCTGTGTATCAAGATAGCTAAGGATTTTTGTAGCTTGTTTACTCCTTGACTGCTCATGAAGAAAAGCTTTGTTGTGTTTTTTTTGTTGTTGTTGTTTTGGTTTTTTTAAGCAACAGAGAGGCCTAATTTCCAAGAGATGTAGGTTGCGTGAATGGATGAGGGAGAGAATTCTGAGTGCTCTTACTGAGCCCCTTTTAATTAGGACTCCAGGTTACAAATGTCAGAGCTCAGCTCTAACTGGCTTAAGCAAGGAAGGGAATGTTTTGGCTCATTTAGTAACAGCAAGGTCTGAAGTCGCTCTGGCACAGCGTTCTTAGGTCATGCTGCTGGGAACTGTCTCCCCAGCATCCGCTCTGCTTTCCTCCCTGAGCTCCATCCTCCATGGGGCCTTCCCACGTGGAACTGGAAGCAGCTCAGCAACACGCCATGGGAAGACAGAGCCTCTTTCCAGGAAGCACTGGTGAAAGTCCTGAGTGACCTCGCGGGGCCTGAGTTTGGTCTGTGCACATCCCTGGCCTAGTCACTTGAACACCCATCACCCAAGCCTGCGTCCCATGCTCTGCAACACACCAAGGGGCTCTATGGAGTGTGGAGGGACCGGTGGTCAGCTTCACCCAAGTCACATGGGCTGAGAATGAAGAGCGGGGTGGCCTTCTGAAAATTAAGCTGCTGTAACTGGAAGAGGCACTAGTGATGAACAGGCAACACATGTCCATGACACTCGTGGCCACATTTCTGTTTCCCCTTGTCCCTTTTGTAGTCTCTGGGTCTCTCCAGTGCGGCAGCCAGCATGTTTGGGAATGATGGCAGTGAGCTGATCCTGCATTTCGTGACTCAGTGCAATGCTCGGCTCACCCGTGTGCTAGAAGAGGAGCAGAAGCTGGTACAGCTGGGCCAGGCAGAGTAAGTCCCCTGTCATTATTACTCAGGATGGCAGCTCAGGATTGAGGAACTCTGGCCCCACCAGCTGTCCCCAGGAGGCCAATCCAAGCAGAGCCAAAGGAGAGCATTGAGCAGCCCTGCTGCTCTCATGGGACTAACAGGCAGATGCCTGGCACTGACAGCTATAGTCAGGCTAGCAGCTGGAGCTGGCGGGACCCTCCTCCCTAGGCTGAGTAAACAGTGTAGTGCTGAGCCCATTGCTTTGACCCAGAGACACACTGTTTTCTTTTCCCTCTTCTAGGAAGAGGAAGACAGACCAGTTCCTGAGGGATGCAGTGGAAACCAGACTGAGAATGCTGATCCCGTATATTGAGCACTGGCCCCGGGTACAGAGTCCATATCTAGGCCCCAGGCCAACAATGTGTTCACATTTATGATTGTCAGCACCTTTCACTCGGAAGGCCTTGCACACTCCAGAAGTCAACTCACTGTCTCCACAAACTCAGGGATACTCCATACACTTGGCAGAGCTAGGTTTCAAATTTAGGGGTGCCAAGAGAGTAACTCGGAGCCGTCTGTGTTTTAGTTTCTGGAGATGTGAGTGGCTTGGGTTCTAGATCACATCCTGGGTGGGGTCTCAGTAGCCTGAGTGTGCCAGCAGGTCTTCAGTCAGGAGGAGTCCATGAAGGAGATTAGAAAAGTTGGCACATTTATCAGCTGTCATTAACAGGCCTGTTGTGTTCCAGATCTCAGGGGACAAGACTTCTTTTCACACTGTCAGTGTGGTGCTTCAGAATTGCAGTATTTTCGCCAAGGGCTTTTCTCCCCTTTTCTGAAGCTTTCTTTTTTTCTGTTTCAAAGCATGTCACAGCATGGGCTATTCTTTCAGTTAAAAAAGTAGAGTCAAAGCACATCAGAAATATAGGAATGTAAAGATCATTTAGTGTCCTCTGCCCAGCCAGGACACTGTTGAGCGCGTAATTTCAGTCAGTCAGTTGTCAGACGTTTGAACGCCTGCAGTGAAGGGCGTGTAGCTGAAAGTCAAGTCCTTTCCCCTGCCTGTGTTTGCCACACTTGATTTTCAGACCCATGGCCTTGGCTCCTTCCACCTCGCAGTTAAAACGATGGGAATGAGTGCATTAGGCCCTGGCTGCCTCATTCAGCACATTTCCTTCTGGGCTCCGTCACTAAGAGAGAGCTTTCTAGTCAGTCCAGGACCTCTCTGTCCAGCTCCTACAGGCCACAGCCAGTGGATTGTAGAGTTGGTAAAGTAGGAAGACCTTGTACTGTCAGGAGTTGGTGTCTCCTAATGGAGGCGTCTCTGGGTTGTGCCATCACTTGTATTACTTCAAGGAGTTGATTTCAGGTAACAGAAATCAAGTTGAATTAAACAAACAAGCAAAATGGAGGAATTTATCTACGCCCTGGCAGTGGCCTGGAATTTGAACCTAGAAACTATCCCCAGGTTCCCCTCCTATTTCTGCTACTTTCCCCACGTTACAGAATGGGTGCCTTCCCCATCCTTGCTCTCAGGACCCCGGGAGACCAGGCTAGACCCTCTGCTGTCTGCATCCCCAGGTCCACATGCTAGGGACTAAGAATCTGACAGGGCCAGCTGAGTGTGGGGCCTGTCCCTGGCTCCCATCAGTTGTTCAGGGTGGTTAGCCACCAGGAGGGTGTGGAGATGGTGGGTCTCTGAGAGCTGGGCAGGGCAGGCCTCCTTACATACCTCAGTGGAGAGGCGAGGTACCAGCCACCTATGTGCACTGTTGTCACCTGTGTGCAGTACCTATTCTGCTGTCATTCTCTCTTCAGGCCCTCAGCATCCTCATGCTCCCTCACAACATCCCGCCCAGCCTGAACCTGCTTACCAACATGGTGGACGACATGTGGCATTATGCTGGGGACCAGTCCACTGATGTGAGTGCTTTCTGAGACCCACAGGATGCCAGAAAAGGCTTGGGTCTAGCATTTCTTCAGGAAGTTTGTGAAGTTTCTTTCATCACAGATTCCTTCAGGGGGCCTGCAGTGTCATTCCCATCTTAGTAAGGAGAGACTAAGGCCACAGTGGGATCTAGGTCACTTCATTCAGGGGCCAGCACTCTAGCCACAAACCAGTGATTATTCCTTCTGCCCTGTAGTAGTGACACAGGACATCAGGGAGCCTTGTGATTGGGCTGCCATTTTATAATAATTTTCTCCTCATTTCTTCTGAGATTTAGATGTTGCAGCAGAATTTCTCAGTATGTTTTACACGAGACTGATTTTTTTTTAATGCCATGGAGACACCCATTTTTTTTTATTTTTTAATTTTTTTAAACTACCCCTAGCTCCTCTTGGCCTACTTTACTAAAAGATCAATAAGCCTTTAAACAGACACCAGGAAAGAACTCAACTTCCTAATGCTATCATATTTCTGTTAGGAAATTAAAAAACAAAAGTATACCCTCATAAAAAGAAATTAATATGTGCTGGTACTTTATGGAATCTGGGATGGAGAAGCAAAGGGATACTCCCACCGCAGTTCTAACAAAGTGCTTTAATAAAGCCCCCCGCCCCCCGCCCCGTGGGAATATACCACCAACAGAGGTGGTAGGAAAATGAAATCAGAAAGGGAAGAAATTAAAGAAATAAAACACAAGGCAGCTGAGCTAGTGCTCTGAAGTGTAGTTTGCCAGGACAGTCAGAAGTGGCTGAAGGACTTGAACTCTCAGCTCCTCCTAGGTGTTCTAATCTGTCCATGACCCTGTCCTAGCCAGCACTTTCCTGATGAACACACCAAGATTTGGTCATAACTGACCACAGAGCCTCCCTGGAACTTACATGGCTTAAGACTTAGTCTTTTCACCAGCAGTTCCGAAAAGGACTGGATGTAGCAAAGTCACCTGGGATGCTTAGTAGACATCCAGATTCTTGGCGCTTACTTCAGACCCACTGACCCTAAATGCTAAGAGCTTGCGTTTTAATGTCCCAGGTAATGCTGATGCCCAGCCACATTTGGGAATTGTAGTGTCGTCCAGAGGAACATGGGTATCTGGGAGGGAAAGAAGAAATCAGGCAGGAGCCCTGAGTGCCTGTGTCTTTGGGTAGAAACTACCCCGACTGCACCCAGCCCACTGTGGTGGTGGTGGTGACCCACCTTCCTGGGTGGGTTTCTTCGCAGTTCAACTGGTACACTCGCCGAGCTGTGCTGGCTGGCATCTACAACACGACAGAGCTGGTGATGATGCAGGACTCATCCCCAGACTTTGAGGACACTTGGCGCTTCTTGGAAAACCGGATTAATGACGCGATGAACATGGGCCACACTGCCAATCAGGTAGAAGGGGGCTAGCCATTTGGGAAGCCTCCTCACTGGGCACACTGTCTCCTTGAGCCACAGCTGGGCACCTGTCTGTTCTCTTACTCCCCTTCAGCCTCTGCTGACTGTCCCAAGGGCCTTCCCAGGGAGCCTGGCTGGTTCTTCCTCATACCAGCCCTTCCTGAAGCTCCACCCTTCGTCCATTTGGCCCATTTATGGTTGTGTTGTCCACAGCTCTTCCTCTAGTACCCAGGGCCCTCTTGACTACCTGTCAGTGCTAATAGGCCTGCTGCTTTGTCCTTTTTCACCTTCAAGCTTGTGGTGGGGGCTTAAGAAAACCTGACTCTGACTCCTAGGTAAAGTCCACTGGAGAGGCACTGGTGCAAGGACTCATGGGTGCAGCAGTGACGGTGAGTACTGCCCGGCTTGCCCCTGCTCTCCCCCCATCCTACTCCGGCCCTGTGCTTCTCATTTAATGTATCACTGACCCCAAATGGTTTTGTAGCCTTAAACTGGAAAGCTAATGAGACTGACAGTGGTTCAGCCTGTCTCTTAATTCCAAATACTCCACTTCTTTATTTTTTATTGGCATCAAGAAACATGGCTGACTCCAGGATCTTGGTATGTCAGATCTCTGTTTTATAGCCGTACATGCCTCCTTGAAAATCCTGATCTTTCCCTTTGGAGTCCTGGAGGTAGAGCAAGGCCTCATCACTGTTTCCATCCCTTTATCAGCTCAAGAACTTGACAGGTCTAAACCAGCGCCGGTGAGCAAGAAGGGGTGTAAGCTAGAGTGCCCAGAAGAAAACCTGCGAATACATTAAAGGGCAATGAAAAGCACGAAGTGCCATCCATGGAACAGGGTCTTAATGAGAAAACACTCAAGGATTCCTGTGTCACTACCACAACCACCTGGAAACCACAGGGCACTTAATACAGTTGTGGCCCAGGATTGGGCCACTTCTTCAGTTCTGAATACCAGGCCTGGCCTCCTGATGCCTCTCTGTGTTGCAGCTGTGTGATTGAAAAATGAGACTGTCATCCAAGCATTCAATCCACAGAAACTCAGCACCTCCCTGTCATCATCCCACAGACACTTTGATCACATCATGACCTTAGAAATGCTCTCCGGGGCTTCTAAGTCAGAGTCAGGGTCTGAAGCCACCCAACGTGGCAGCTCATCCACAGCACAGCACAGGCACCCAGAGGCGTTCCTTGCACCCTTGCCCTCTCCAGCATCCCGAGATACTGCACCTGGAAACACTCAGAAAGCTGCCTCACTTGAGAGAGGTGGCTGCGGGTGGTGGTACATAGCCTGGTCAGAGGGATGATCCCAGGCCTGGTGTCGCATTACACCAGCGTGTATTGCAGAATTATTAGTGAACTTAGAGTCTGTAAAATTATAATAAATATGTTTGAATCAGTTTCCTGTTATGTCGTTAGCTTTCATACAGACCGTAGCAGGTATCGAGACACCAGAGGGAGACAGATGGCAGTGTTGTGGAAGAGGCTTGAGGTCAGCAGCCAGGAGACCTGAATTCTGGTCTGTGTGCTGCCTCATATTACTAAGCAATATGACACCTCTGCCTTTCTGGGTCCAGGCTTCTTATCGGTAATATGTGGGTGATAGGGCTTCCTCCCACTATTAGCTCATTTGGCTGCTCTTGTCTATTTCTAACCATTTCAGTTATACATTCTTTAGCTTTAATTTTCTTGGCCTCTACACTGGCTAGGCTCCCTTTGCACATCTGGGTAACTCTTTTATTAGTCTGCTCAATCTCCTATAACAAAATATCACAAACCAAGAGGCTTAAACAACAGACATTTCTCACAGTTCTGGAACCTGGGAAGTCCAAGATCAAGATGCTGGCCAATTTGGTTCTTGGTAAGGGCTTTCTTCCTGACTTGCAAATGGCCGCTTTCTCCCTATGTTCTCACACACAGAAAGCACGAGTGTCTCTTCCTGTTCTTATAAGGGCACTAATATGAGGGTCTCAAAGGTCCCCATTTCCAAATATCACATTAGGAGTTAAGGCTTCAACATTTTGGGGACAGACAGTTGTCCATAGCATCTGCCTTCTGCTTTGCTGTCCCCTAAGTCAACAATATTGATGGGAGAAGTCACAAGCTAACAGGAATTTCCAGTTTCTTGTGGGCCTTCTACCGGGCCCCTTTTCGGCACCTCTAATTCTTTTGATCTCAACACCCTGTCAGATTCCCTGTGGTAGCTGTTCCAAATTTCATTCCATTCTCTCCTTTATCCTTCATAGCATCCCTTTCTCATTCAACTTTAATTCTTAATTTACAGAGATGACAGGCTGTAGGCAAAGCCCCCCTCAAAGCCCTTAACTCTCTCAGGAAGAGGTGTCACTCCTTGCTAAGGCAAACTCTATCTGATTACTCTTCTGCCCACTAAGTGTATCCCTCCCTGCAACTTTGATTTTAGGGCCTCTGTGTATGGGCAGCTGCCACCTTTTGAGGCCTGTTCAAACCTCTCCTGGCTGTTTAGAAGACTTTGGTTATTCTTTATTGCGCATTCACCCAATGAGACACACTGGCAGGCACTGGAGATGCAGAGATGAAGAGCTACTCATCCCCATCCCCCCCAACCCCACCCCACAACTACACAATGCTAGATGATGCATTAAAAAAGAGCATTTTTTCTTCCTGCAGGTTCAGAAGTGCATGATCCAGGCTTGAGGGTGGAAAGGAAAGGGTACACATACCTATCATTCAAGTATACTTTACTAAACTTTTGTTTTTTCATAAATGCACAAACTATGTATATTTTACCAGGTCTCTGTCAATGGACAATTAGTTTTATTTTTCGCTGCTACAAACTGCGCTGCAGCGATCGTCCCTGTACTTGTATCTTTGCTTACAACTGCAAGTGTTTCTGCACTATGAATTCCTGGAAGTGTTATCTTTGGGTCAAGGGTGTATGCATGTTTTGCTGAATAGCCTTCCAAGATGGTTGAACCTGATGGCGTCTAAACTAGGTAGTGGATAGAAAACGGCGGGCCGGGAGCAGCCCCAGCCTCCGAACAGCAGGTGGCACTGTGGGGCGCGTCTCCCCGGAAGCGGCGGGGGCCATGCCGAGCGACTTCCGGTGCGGCGGCGCAAAGCGGGGCTGACGCCGGAGGCCAGCCGGACGGCGGTCCGTGATGCCGTACGCCAATCAGCCCACTGTGCGGATCACGGAGCTCACCGACGAGAATGTCAAGTTTATCATCGAGAATACGGATCTGGCGTAAGTCGGCTGAGGGAGGCTGGCGGCTCTGGAACGCCGGGGCTCAAGCCCGGGCGGGCGTGGGGGTCGTGTCTGCTGGCCCCCCTGTGCCCGGGCCTCGACTTTGGGAAGCGTGGGGCGCGGGACTGGCTTTTCGAGGCTGCGGTGCCCTCACGCCTCTTGGTTTTCATCCCTCAGGGTGGCCAATTCTATTCGGAGGGTCTTCATCGCTGAGGTGCCCATAATAGGTAAGCGACCCCGCCTGCTGGTTCCCAGGGCCACCATTCCCGTCCACCCCGACCTTGGGGCTCCTGCCTCCAGTCCTTGGTTTGGGGTGATGGCGGGGGCGCTGAGGAAAATGCTGGGAACTTAATCGGACCCTGTGTCCCTGGCTCCCACTGGCCACTTAGCTCCATTCTTACATTTGCATTGGTGAAGAGCATGGGTTCAGGAGTTGGCCGATTTGGGTTCGAATACTGTTATCACTCTCTGAAACTTGGGCACGTTATTAAACTGTGGGCTGCAGTTTCCTCTAACACTCGGACACTAATATGTATCACATGATATCAAGGATTAAATATAATCTATTAAGTGCCTTGTGTTTAGTGCGTGTTCAGAGCTGGTAGATGACTTTTTATGAATGTGTTCCTTCAACTGCGTTTGTGGAACATAAATGCCAGGCATTGGTGCTGGGCACTGGGAGTGCAAGGCAGTATAGTACAGAGTCCTTGCCGTCATGGAGCCCGTGGTGAAGTTACAGGGGAAAGATGACTCCACAGACAGCACTGTGATAGCTTTAGATCAGTAGCTCAGGAGAAGCAGAGCTTCAGTGCTGATGGCGCTTACAGGAGGGAGGATGTTTCTGCTGTGGTTCCAGCCACACTGCTCCAGGTACATTACAAATATATTACAAATACTTTTTGAGTGTCAACCCAGCGAGTTTGGGTTAGGAAAAAGAAGTGGACATCAGAGCTGCTGCAGCAAGTACGTAGATTCCTAAGGAAATAAGCAGGCCAAATGATTGATAAACAAGAGGGCATTGTAGTTTATCCACCAATACCACCCCCAGTCACTTCAGCTCAGAGCTTGGCATGCTGGTCGGCTAATCAAAAATAAGGGAGTTATATTTTATGTTGCAGCCCTGACATTCCGAGTCCAAATGCCACTTTTCCTACAAATCCAGTTCTGCAAATAATAATTGAGAACCTGCTACATTCCAGGTCAAAGCTAGGAATACAAAAGTTAAGACATTTGAAGACTGCTCCAAGGAATTTTCGAAGCTTGAGATAGAGACAAGACATACACAAAGATAGCACAAAGCAAAATATGATAAGTATTTTAAGAGAAGTCCGGACAGAATTTTGTGAGGAAGGTGCTTACAGAAAGGGAGCGATCATACCTGTGTCACGGAGGGCAGGCAAGCCTCCGATTGTAGGAGGCTCAGAGGGTTCTAACCTGCACAGGAGAGGGCAAGGGCATGCCAGGGACAGGAGCTTGGGGAGTAAAGGGGCAGAGGAAGAAGAGCTTAGCTTTTGGTTATTTGCTTGGGTCAGGAAAGCAATAGGAAGCATAGAACAAAGCAGGTTGGGGCCTGGCTATGTCTGGTCCTCTTCTGACCTCCGTTTCTAGGGTCATTTGGCAGTTGGGCTTCAAAGGCATTTGCTTTATGAATTTGTTTACGTGCAGATGTTTATTTATGAATGAACGAATGTGTTTAAGTCGAGTGTGTGAGCATAGAGTCCTCCTGTTGGCTCATTGCTGATAAGGATTGGTTTTCATACTTAATATGCCTTGCCCACTAAAGGAATTCTGTAGACACTGGTTGACTGAGTGATAATAAAGTATTAAATTGAGTAATGTGGTCATTATATCATAACATGAGATATGGACCAGAAGTCTGTGATACCTCTGTGAGGTTTTCTTTAACTTTTAAGGGTCCAAATAGTTGGTGTTCTTGAATTTGGTGTTGGCATGAATAACAGATTTAAGTGCTTCTCTTGGAAATATTCAGTTCAAAGAAACATGTTCTCGCTCCCGTGGTATTCTCTGAGTAGTGTTTTCCTATGTGGTACAGGGAACCCTCTGCATTAAACCTGCCTGAGTAGTGAGGTGTGTGGTGTGTGTGGTTCTTGTCAATATGCAGATTCCGGGACCCCACTCTAGAGCCCTGTGAATCAGAATCGCTGGCAGCCTGGCCCAGGCCTCTGCAATTCAGTAAGCATCAGGTGATCTCTAACTCTTGAGAGCCACTGCTCTGTCTTTAGGTGGATTTGGTGGCTAAGCTCTGTGTCTGCTACTTTTATTTTTTAGCTATTGACTGGGTTCAAATTGATGCCAATTCCTCAGTCCTTCACGATGAGTTCATCGCTCACAGGCTTGGTGAGTCCTGGGTTTTGGAAAGGGAAAGGGAGGGCGCTGTTCCTGGACCCAGAGAGGAAGCCTCCTCACTCCCCAGGGGACTTCTAGGGTCTGCTTTTGACTCAGTCACTCGGCCTTCTTTAGAGTGCTTTTCTCTGTCTTCCAGGATTAATCCCGCTCACTAGCGATGACATCGTGGACAAGCTGCAGTACTCCCGGGTATGCTGGGTGATTGAGTGGAATGTGGCTGGGGGAGGTGGGGGCCTCCAGTTCTCAGAAGGACTTTCCTGACGTCTTGCTTCTAGCCTTTAGAAAGACAGTATGGAGATGTTGTCTGGAGCCCAAGGCAGGCATTGGTCCTTGGTTTCGATGGGCCTCTAATGGATTAGACTCACAGGGCATCAGGGAGTCTCTTTAGAGGTCACAAAGGAGGGGGTGTATACCGGAATGCCTATTTATACCAAACAGGCAGTGGGTGGGGGGATGTGTGTGGTCCTTTTCAGAATCCGATCTGTTCAGACTCCGCTTTCCAGAGCATCTCTCACCAGCGATAGGCCTGGAAGGCTAAAGGGAATCAACAGAAGATTGGGGCTGGAGGGCAAGGACAAGGAGAGGAAGCAGGAACTGTTCCACTGAGCAGCGCTTGAGAGACTGGAGTGCTGCTGGCTGCCAGATTTATGACTCACGCCATAGATGGTGCTAGTAAGACATGGCTCCCTCCTCTAGGGCCGTGTTTGCTCTCTGCTGATAACGTTAAGAGGCCTAGGACTAGGGAGAGAGTGGCCCAGGATTAGCGCATCTCTTCACCAGGACTGCACTAGATAACAGCCGAGACTGTTCCCTCTTGATGGCTTTGGATGATTCTGAATTAACCCGTCTTCTAATTCCCAAGGGCATGTCACTTGTGGTTGCTAATTTGATGTGTCTTGTAAATATATATGTATTTTTTTAAAAAAAATACTTACGTGCAGAGCAAAATTTGGAGTTAATGTAACAGATATTCATGCTCCTACGAAACAACTTGTCACATTTTAACCTTTTTCCATGTTTGCGTCATATCTCCAGATTTTTGTTTTTAAGAAATAAAACACAGATATTGGTGGGGACAGGTGTATAACCAGTTGAAGAGGAGTTTGGCAATATCTTATGTAACGCCATGCATGCCCTGTTACCTGGCCGTTCCTTCTGTTAAGTTTTTTTCCTAGTATTAATATTTATCAAAAGGTGGTGTAGTCCTATGGTCCTTTTTTTTTTTTTCTGAAAATCTACAGAAACGTGGAAGAAATAGAATAGTAAATACCCATTTACTTTTTATCTTTCATTATCAGTTGTTAGTATTTTGCTACATTTGCCTTATTTTTGAGATCTATGTTGTTTTTGCTGAACCATTTGAAAGAAAGTTGTAAGTATCATGACACCTCTCCCCTGACTACAGTACTGCATGTCCTAAGAATGAGGATGTTTTCCTACATAACCACAACTAATTTGTAATATCTGTTACAGTTCAAATTCGGATTTTCCTAGTTGTCCCCCAAATGTCCTTTATTGTTTTTCATTTGCGTGTCTGTGATCCAGCCACAATTTATATATTGCATTTGGTTGTTATACCTCTTTAGTCTCATTTACTCTTGAGCAGACTCTTCCTTTCGTTATACTTATTTTTTTGAGGTCGAGTACCTTTTCATATTTTTATCTTCCATTACATTTTGATTCTTCTATTTCATATTTCCAAGAGTTATTCGGCCTCGCAGATCCAGATTGCCTTCCTGCCTCACCTGTATGTGACTATAGACCATCCAGGTGTGGCCTCTAGTTCCCCCTCGCCTCAAAATCATCTAAAGTATGTTGGATTTTCTTTACTGGTATGAGGGCAGAACAGTTTGCTCGATTAAGTTAAACTGTTGCAGATAGTTCCTGACAGGGACTGGGTTGTTATAAGAATCAGTCCTTTAAAGAATGGCAAACTGTCGATAGTTATTGAAGCTGAGTGATGGTCACACGATGGCAGACTGTTACACTCTTCTTGGCTTTTGGGAATGTATGACATTTTCCATAATAGAAAGGTGATGTTTTTTTTTTTAGAAAAGATCAGTAGCCTAAAACTTGAGAAATACTTTTGTCTTTTGCTAATTTTTGCTTTAAATGGTGATTATATCCCCAAGCTAGTCCACTTAGTTCGTGGGAAGCTGAAGTGGAGTGTGAAAGCATGTCTTCTCTCATCAGCGCGGTTCTCTGACGAAGAACACTCGGAGGGCCAGATCAGGTGTTAGCAGTGGTGGCCTGGTGGCTGGTGGCTGTCAGCGTGTATGGGTTGTCTCTAAACTGGGAAGTGCCTACATTCGAGCAGCCCATGAGAAGGTGTGCCAGCCTGACGCAGCTCACGAGAGCCTGGAGACCGGCCAGCCCTTTCTCAGATGAGACTTGAGGGGCTGGGTACTAGAAGTGGGAGCACAGGCTTCGCCGCCTCATTCTGGCTTCTCCTGCCTCAGGACTGCACGTGTGAGGAGTTCTGCCCTGAGTGCTCGGTAGAGTTCACCCTAGACGTGCGGTGCAACGAAGACCAGACCCGGCACGTCACGTCTCGAGACCTCATCTCCAACAGCCCCCGGGTCATCCCGGTCAGTACCTGAGCACACCCTTCCTCCCTCCCTGCCCAGGGCCTCTGCCTTTCTCCTTCTGGCTCCAAGTGGGCTGGACTAGGGTGGGCTCTCAGAAGACACTGGCCTTCCCTGTGTTGCCTTCTGCCTTCACCTGAACCTGGTTTGGCAGGTGCTGGAAGGTAGTTGCCAGAAGGAGATATGGGGAGATATAGGAACAGCTAATAACTGTTTCTCAGTGATCCAGAGGTGCTGGAAGGTAGTTGCCAGAAGGAGATACTGGGGAGATATAGGAACAGCTAATAACTGTTTCTCATTTGGGCTTCCTGCAGGTGACCTCCCGGAACCGAGATAACGACCCCAATGACTACGTGGAACAGGATGGTATGGGGCCGGAGGACTGTGTGGATGTCTACGCAGCCCGTTGCTTTGCGGCCAGCGGGGAGGCGGAGACTGGACACAGCTGCTTGTGCTGTCTGGTCTTCTTGTCAGCTGGCTTTTAACCTGTTTTTCTAGATGTGTATGGTCTTCCAGTGGCACTCTAGGCCAAAATTTGGGGGGTCATGCCTCTCCTGACCTTAACCAACTCCCCTCCCTCCCCACAGACATCCTGATCGTCAAGCTGAGAAAGGGCCAGGAGCTGAGACTTCGAGCCTATGCCAAAAAGGGCTTTGGCAAGGAGCATGCCAAGTGGAACCCAACTGCAGGGGTGGCTTTTGAGTATGATCCCGACAATGCCCTGAGGCACACAGTATACCCCAAGCCAGAGGAATGGTAGGTTCCAGCTGGGAGTGAAGGCAGGCAGTTAGGGTGGGTGTGGGTAGACATGGCTTCTAGTGACATGTAGCAGGTGCCCTGACAGCAGCAGTAGCAACCTTGTGCTGACCTGTCTTTGTCACTAGGCCGAAGAGTGAGTACTCAGAGTTGGATGAGGACGAGTCACAGGCTCCCTACGACCCCAATGGCAAGCCAGAGAGGTAAGACCCTTGTCCGGCCATGAAGGTGAAGTGTGTAAGAATGTACAGTCTCAGCGCAGGCCCTGAGTTTGGGGGACCCCTTCCCTCACATCCCACTTCCTATAAACAGGAGGGGCTGACAGCTGCCAGACCCGTGATACATGCACATCCCAGGGCAGGTCATTACCCCCTTTTAGTCACTGTGAGAAAGAGGGGCCTCCAGTTATGCAAGCGGTTCCTACTTTGGTTTTCAACCTCCGAAGAAGGGGTCAGCCTAGGGCCAGAAACTGACCACAGTCTTCTAGTGACGAGCACAAAGATGCTGGAGCGCGCGCCCCTGCCTGCTTGATGCTCTGCTTTCTCCTCAGTGCGGAGCGCCGGTCAGAAGTGTTTGAGGTTTTCAGTCTTTTTGAGAGAGCTAGTGCCCCTTTGAGGTTCTGTAAAGAGCATTGGGACCCGTAAGAGGTTGGAGGCCGATCCTGGGGCAAGGTCAAGTTCATGGTGGGAAAGGAATGACGACTCGGGAGGGAGGGTGAGGTGGCCATGGCTGAAGCTCAGGCCAGCCAGCGCCCCGGGGAGGGCACCCACCGGACTCTCGCTTCTCAGGTTCTACTACAATGTGGAGTCCTGTGGCTCTCTGCGCCCCGAAACCATTGTCCTCTCTGCCCTCTCTGGACTGAAGAAGAAACTGAGCGATTTGCAGACCCAGTTAAGCCACGAGATCCAGAGCGACGTCCTCACCATAAACTAGCTGCGGCTCGTCGGTTTCAGCAGAAAGGGGCTCCGAGCCAGCAGCTGGTTTCAGGTCTCTCCTGAGACTCTTCTAGCTTCTGCGGTCTAGATGGCTATTGCTCAAGCTTCTTGGCAGGCCGTCAGTACCAGCTAGAAAGGCAGCAGTGGGGAAGGGTGGGTCCATCCCTACCTTCCTCCGTCACAGGCTGTCAGGGGTGCCACTAGTATTCGAGGCAGGCCGTCTCTTCCTGAACATTCAGCATCCCTGGCCCTGCCTGCTGATGGCCAGCAGCACTCGCAGAACCCAGAACATCCCTCCCACCCTGTTTCCTAATCTGCCTGTGGGGCCGAACTCCTTCCCTGCTGAGAACCGCTGAGCTGGACTCTCTCTTTCGGTTATTTCAGCTCTTTACTTTGTCCAAAAGTTGGACTTTTCAGTTACGCGTTAGGTTTCCCATGTTAGGATTGAGTGCTAGAACCCTCATTCAGGCTGCCTACAAACCCAGTCCCTCCCAGGGCCAGCCTACTGGCACTTCAAACTCCCGTGTCCCTAATTTGAGAACCCTTTGAGAACAGTGTTAGATCCTGGCACCCCTGGCTCCAATAAACCCTGTGTTTCATTCTCTACCCATCAGTTACAACTTCACGGCCAATGGCCTGATGATTTAGTTTGGGGGAGGGAAGCGGGTGGGCAAGGGCTTTAATGAAGGTCTGGCCTTGACCCTTAAGTCCTATAGGTAAGAACATACCCAAAGCAGTGAATTAGGCAGCCTGGCAGGAGGAGCCTGGAGAAAACCAGGGCCCCAGTGCAGAAAGGAAGAGAGATTTATTGATTGACAATAGTCGTCTTTTTAAAAGTTTTTATTTTTGGCAATAAAGAGCACAACATAATCTCTTTCATGCGTCATCGTGCCACTAGCTGAGCCAGCCAGCTCTGCCTCCCTCTCCGAGGCCTTAGGCCAGGCTCTCTTCTTCAGGCCGGCTTACTCCCCTGGGTGGTCATTTCCCTGGGTCAGGTTCAGAGCCGAGCTGGCTGTGGCCACCTCCCTGGCTCCAGGGCTCTGCTGGAGGGGCCTCTTGCTTTATCCTCCTGCCACAACTGGAATAGTGGTTATTTACAACAAGGTAACAAGGTCCGTTCCCACAAATCAGAACCCTAAAGTATTAAAAACAAACAAAAAAACGCAACCAGAGGTTTGATGTGAATAGAAAGATAGCCCTTCTGCCCGGTAGTCAATAAATACCAGCACTAGAAAATCAATTGCTTTAATTGCATTTCAGCAGGGAGCCTCAGCACCGTGTGGGGAGGAGGAAAGGCTCGGTTTCTGAGTGCTGCTGAGTGCTTTCCACTGGCCAGAGGGCGGCCGAACAGGAGAGGGGCCCCCCTGCTGGGGCGCTGCCCACCCCAGGTCAGTGAGGGGGACGGCAGGGGTGCTCCCCACAGCAGTCCTGCCGCGGCCTCCCTGCTGGCCTGGCCCTGGGTCAGGAAAGAGCTTGGGACAGGCCATCCTCTGCCTGGCTGAGGTTACCAGCACCCCCACCCCCAGGGCATTATCTCAGCCCACTAAGCAGGAAGGAGCCTGGGCGGAAATTTCCTTTTTCAAACCCAATTTTCACCAGAGGTGTCAATCAGATGTCACCTCTGCCTAAAACTCCCAAGTGCAAGGCTACCAAGTGGTACAGTAAGTTCAGATCCTGTGCCGCTCTAGGGCCAGAGGAACTGAGAAGCTACCTGCCATGTTAGCCCTTGGGTTGCCTGGGAAAAGCCAGCAGTCAGAGCACCAGCCCTGAGTTCTGATTGTCTTCCTTGTCTGGCCCCAGCAGCTCAAGCAAGTCCTGGCAGCAGGAGGGCTGTACCATGGAGGGCAGGAAACAGCTGCCCTCACATTCAAAACCAGCCTTGACTGTGGCCTGGTCTTGGGATTAAAAAATATGTATGTGGTGGCAGGGAGGGACGGGGGGAATTCATTAATACAGAATATGTCATAAGCTGTATATATTAAAATCATTAACAGTATATAGTCCCATGGTAGCTCTAGCCCCTCACACATGCTCAGGTGGTGTGGCCAGCCCTTTGCCTTGGTCCAGCCTCACCCTTGGGGGCCAGGAAGGGACAGCCTGCTCCCTTTCTCCAGGCTCTTGGCCAACAGCCCCACGAGGCTGGCCACAAGACGCCGCAGTCAGCTCTGCAGCAGGCAGCCCCAGCTGTCATTGGTGCGCACCAGCCCTGCCTTCATTGGGGTGGGGTCTTGGCCTCGCTGCTGTCCCCCTGGCTGGGCTTTGGCT